TACAAAAGATAAAAATAAAATAAAATACAATTTGTTCTTTTTCTTAATTAATTTGGAGAGAGTGGTCAGGGCTTAACAATCATAATTCTCATAAGACTGATGGACTTGTTACTAAGATAACCTTAACGTTTGCTCAGCTGGAAGTGGACTCCCAGTGCATTTTATCATTGGCCTAATTCTCTTGGGTCCTATCTCCTCCCAAACTGTGATTTAGGATCTATTTGGGGAAGAAGGAACTGGGAAGAAAGAGAATAAATTAAAATTTTAAAATATCACAGAATTTCATCAATTTAAGGTAGTATAATTTCATGTTTTAGAGCATTGGCTTTGGAGTCAGACAGATGAGATGAAGTACTTCCTCCATCTTTCATTAGAGACATTACCTTGGGAAAATTGCAATATTTCCCTAATTTTCAGGGTTTCCTCATTGGCAGTACCTTACACTTGTAGAATAACTATAGGTGAAATAAAACATGCAAAGCCTTTAGCACAGTCCTTGGCTTAGTCCCGTGGTCGGCAAACTGCGGCTCGTGAGCCACATGTGGCTCTTTGGCCCCTTGACTGTGGCTCTTCCACAAAATACCACAAACTACCACGTGTGGGCACGCACATACAGTGCGATTGAAACTTCATGGCCCATGTGCAGAAGTTGGTATTTTGTGGAAGAGCCACACTCAAGGGGCCAAAGAGCCGCATTTGGTTCGCAAGCTGCAGTTTGCCAACCACTGGTAGAGTAACCACTTAAATGCCATTTATTATTAACTCACTCTGAGTTATGTGTTGCAAAATTGATTTATTTGAAGAACTCCTCATTATCTTACTCATTTATATTTACAGGACTTTTCTATTTCTTCAGTGGATCAGCAAAGTTTGAGTTTGACCCCAATGTCAGGATGGTGACACACATATTGAAGAGTAACAACTGGTTATTAGTTGAGATATGGAAAAGACAGATCCATTCTTAATGAATCTAATAATTATTCACATAATTTATTATGAGTCAGAATGATTGTTTTTTTCTGCATGTGCAACGCCAAAGAAGATGAGCCTTGCAGTCATCTTCACATGTCATGGGCATTTATCTGGACCACTACACTTGCTGTTAGATTATATTAAAGGGAAGTGAGAAGTACTCATGTGCAATAGGCAGAGAACCTGCACATCTCTATGGATGTTTTATTTACTGTGTAATAAAGATTTTTATTTTGGGTCTGTTCTTTACTTTCTAGAATAATTTATTTTCATATATATATATATTATTGATTTTTTACAGAGAGGAAGGGAGAGGAATAGAGAGTTAGAAACATCAATGAGAGAGAAACATTGATCCGCTGCTTCCTGCACACCCCCTCCTGGGGATGTGCCTACAACCAAGGTACATGCCCTTGACCGGAATCGAACCTGGCACCCTTCAGTCTTCAGGTCGATGCTCTATCCACTGAGCCAAACCAGTTAGGGCTAGAATAATTTATTTTCAACAAAATGACCACACTGTGGACTGATCCTTGAATAGATGTTCTGCTAGTAAGTGTAGTAGGAACACACACTCGCTATCACATACCCTTTCTCCTTCCCTCTACCAACAGGATCTTTATTTTTACCTTCCAGATATTGTAAGCATCCCTTACACATCTAAGGAGGAAAAACCTTAGTCAATAGCACTGATTCTGGACAAAATAGAGAAATGGAATTTTGGAATATTTGATCTTAGAAACTTCACAAATCATGTAGTCCAGGTCATCTTTACAGATCAGAAAACAGAAATAGCTTGTAATTTAGCCTCCACTTTTTTAATCCGAAAGTTTCTTTGGTGGAGCTCTCTGAATGCCCTGGAGACAAAATGTCTCATATCCTCACTGTCTCATTAAAATATTCCCTTGTTATTTGTTACCATTTTGCACTTGGCAGTTCCTGGTGATAAGAGTTTGTGTGCAGATGCTAATTGTATGACAGGTTTATCACCACTAAGCTTTATGCTTTACGCCATACCAGATATGATGTAGAAGCTTGTTCATTCTTTAATCCATTCACTTAAATGACAGGCACTGTCTTGGGTGCTAGGTGTAGGACAGTGAGGAAAACACATTTAACGCTACCTCATTAAATTTTGTCTAGGAAGAGTAGACATCAAACAAAGGGAACACAAATATATAATTATAACGATGTTATTAAAGAAGTGACAGAGTGACAAGGGAGAATAATGTGGGGGAGAAAACCACCAGCTAAAGTTTGGTCATAGGCTGGTCTAGTATCAGAACAAAAATCTATTAAGAAACTGAAACAAAACAAGTTACGCAAAGTAAAACCAAGGACTATTGACAAACTTGAACTTGCACATCAATGGTGAGTTGGGGAGGATTCTCCGAAAGAAGGTGCAGTGGCTGTATGAGTGATTCCTACCTTTGGTCAGTTTTGGTCCAGGCAATTGGGAGAAGCATGACTGCGCCTGCAGGAAGGGATCCAGTAGCTGTAGCTTTGGGGAGATGGAGGGATGCTGGGACTCATCAGTAAATAGCCTCACAAGGTGGTCATGAGACAAAAAAGAAAAGAAATACAGCCCGAGGGAGCTTGGAAGCAGAGTTCTGTGGAGCCTCCAGATAATGCCTCCAGATCTTATGCGGAGACACTGCTAAGCCATGTCCAGATGCTGGTCTCACAAAAACTGAAGTAATAAATGTGTGTTTGAATCCACTAAGTTTGTGGTATTTTAAATCTGCAATACATGTCTCCTAC